TGCCTGGGATTCAGCCACTGGCTCCAAATGGTGCTCTCCCACGTGGAGAGCTCAGGTTGGATGAGACACACCTTCAGCCCCATTTGGACAACACCCCCAGCTGCTGCCTGGGGTGTCTCGCCCTGATACCTCAACCCTTTTCCAATGGGAGGAGGTGAAAGACTGACAGCAGTTGATGAGTTCTTTAACCTTGGATACGGGTCAGCTGGCTACATTCTGAAATAAAGATTGGGCATTTCTTTTGGAAAAAAATCTCACAGGAAGCCATTCCTACTGACATCACCTCAGGACATGCAAAGCCATGGGATGGCCCTGGGACAAAGTCAGAATTGTCTTGGGTAACCAAAGGTGTTAGGAGTGGGCAGACTGCATCATCTCTCCCCAGATTCATCCTTTGCTCTACTGCATGGAGCTTTGTGGAAGCCACTTGGTCAGTCAAGATACACAGGAAGATCTGAGTCAGAAGTCCCTGAGGAGCAGGCCAGACCCTGACGTGCAATGGATCCACGCATGAATCCTCCCAGCCTCGGGTGGGAGTGGAGGGGGGGATGCAGGACAGGAAGGAGGAAAAGGAAGTAAGGAAGGAATGACTACGAGACTTTGCTCACTACTTCCTTGTATTTAGATTTAATGCCCAGGAACCTCAGGGGCATTTTTCTTTTCTTTTTTGAGAGGTTTTTGCTATAGGGTGCATGTGCTCTCCAGAAAGACAGAGAGACAGAAAGTGAGAAATCACCCCCGGGGGGATGGTCACAACGCAATCCCATTCTCCTCCCAGGATCTTGGGCACGCACACACATGCACCTGGCATGAGTTTAAGCCACTGGGTTCGGGACCCTAACCACGGTCGACTACAGGGGAGTCCAGCGACATAGCCACTGCATTAACTGCTGGTCCCAGGGGCGTTTTTTCATCTTTATCAGAATGAAAGTGGCTCTGACTGTCAGACTTTTGCCAAAACCCCTGTGGCATCAATTTTATTTACGTGGATGGGTTTGGCCATCTTCAGATATGGACTGCTTCTTGTTTGACCATGGTGACTGAGATTTCATGTCTTTTCACAGAAACAGGACTGTTAACACACTGCCCCGGCCCGGAGCTGATTCCCCACTTGGAGATTTGTTTTAAGCAATATGAGGAACTGCCCATAGACAATCGTTGCTTTTATAGAGTTCACTTCCAATAGGGGGAAATGAAGATCGTGCGCCGTGAGCCTACTTACTCTGTGTTGGCCACAGCTGCTGGAAAGGCTGGCCAGTGGATCTGTGCAGCCATACTTTCCAAACACACCTGATGTCTAATGGAGGATTCCCAGATCTCAGTGAACAGACCCTCAAACATACCAGGGAAAGCTAGTCTTCGCGATGGCTTAGAGTGAAGACTCCTCCCTCATGATTTGTGTGACTTCCAGTTTTAGGAGAGTATCCCATGGGAGTACTCAATATAATCTCCCCGATATCCACACAACTGTTCTCCAAGGTGGTCAAAGAAGACAGTGGTTGCTGTGAGTCAATGACCGCACCTCTCTTGAGATGTAGAAGAAGTCCTCCTAAGTACCTTTCTGGCAGGAATGGCTACCAAGAGTAGATCATGTTGACATGGGTAGAGAGAGGACAGGAATTCAAACATGTACTCCGTTGTTGGCAGGATGGAGTCTAGTTGATGTATAGCTGTTGATGATACTACATTGATGATTTTAGCCACACATGCAATGGCAATTGGTAATTCTTCTTCCTTTCTTTAATATCACTTTGCTTTTGAATCTTCTCAGCATAAGCCAAGGAAAAAGACAGCCCAGAGACCTACATGTGTTTCACAGTACCTGGTGACAGTGAAGTTAGAAAGTCAGAAAATGAGCTTTCTCTCTAGCTTTCTTCCTCAGCCTTCTCCTTTCAAAATCCACTGATGGGAACCAGCAGTTAGCGTAATGGCTATGTCGCTGGACTCCCACGGTTCGCGTCCTGGACCCGGTGGCTTAAACTCACGCCAGGCGTGTGTGTATGCGTGCGTGCCCAAGATCCCGAGAGGAGAATGGAGGAGAAGGGATTGCAGCGTGACCATCCCCCCTGGGGGGTGATTTCTCGCTGTCTCTCTGTCTGGCGAGCACACGCGCCCTATAGCGAAAATCTCTCCAAAAAAAAAAAAATCCACTGGTAGAGCGGGCTGTGTTTTATAGATGTGTGTGATCGTGGCATTGTCTGCAGATGAGGCAGGCAATCAAGCTCCACCTCTGCGGAGTCCTTGGGCAGCTGATGCTCGGCCATCTTTCTGCTTTAGTCTCCAAACAACTCTCATTTGAGTGACCAAAGGAGCAGACAGACTTTCCATTTTATCCATAGAATAAGTACCCAGCACTTATGATTCTGAATTTCAGCAGTTTGGTATTCAGATTCCTAGAAGTTTCTTTTAAAGAATCAGCTGCAGTACTCCTGTCTAATCCCTTAGTAAGAGAAACCTACACCCCCATTGTTACTCATTTTATTCCTCAGGTGCTTGTGGGATAAACTGTTATACCTGAATAAGCTCTAATATGCTAATTTATGCTCCTTCCAGGTGGCATATTTTCATTTCAGTCAGGATCTAAAAGATATATGACTTGACCCAAAAGAGCAGACTTAACGGAGACCCCTGCCAGCCAGCAAAGGAGATGCTTTAGAGTTCCTCAAATCACTTTCCACACCAGCGGTTGCAGCTTTGCCCAATGAGAGACCAGCCCTGGTCAAGTTCACTTGTAAATAACCATTTGCTTATCAGGTTTATCCCATCATTTTTTCAGAAGTTACTATGCAATTGTTTCTGAAATTGAACAAGAAGGGACTTTTTTTTTTTTTAGGTTTTTGCCATAGGGTGCATGTGCTCACTGAAAAGACACAGAAAGAAACAGAGGTGGGGGGATAGTGAGAAATCACCCCCTGGGTAGATGGCCACACTGCAATCCCTTCTCCATTCTCCTCTCAGGATTTTGGGCACACATGCACACACGTATTGCACTATTTTCAAGACGTCAGATCTAGGAGTTGAACCAGAGTTGGCCATGTGGGAGTCCAGTGCCTTAACTACCAGAACACCTGCTGGGTCTCAGAAGGGACTTACTTACTTTCTTTCTTTCTTTCTTTCTTTCTTTCTTTCTTTCTTTCTTTCTTTCTTTCTTTCTTTCTTTTGTTTATTTGAGAGAGGTTTTTGCTCTAGGGCACATGTACTCACCAGAGAGACAGAGAAAGACAGGGAGACAAAAAGCAAGAAATCAGCCCTCTGGGGGGATGTCCAGACCGCAATTCCTTCTCCTCTCCGTATTTTGGGCATGCTCACACATACACCTGGCATGAATTTTAAGTCACCAGTCGACTTGAATAGCGGTCGACTACGTGGGAGTCCAGCAACGTAACCATCAAGCCATCTGCTGGTCCTCAGAAGGGACCTTCTTACTGTCAAAGCCAAAAGCTGGATAACGCGTCTGTAGGGAGGTCTCAGTGGGTTTCCTGTCACTGACCGGACCGCTTGTCCGCTCTGACAATCATGTGAGCAGACAGAAGCCTGGTGACTGGCAGCCATACACTGACCCTTTACACCTCCACATTCAACACCACTCAGCATGGGAGGCTCACTTTCGTGACTGTTATTGTTCTAAATTGGACGTACCTTTCTCTAGAACAGAAACTTGAGCCAAGTCACTCATTCAGCCTCTAACTCAGTGCTTTTCTCATATATGATTTGTGAGATGTGAAAAAAAAAATGCTACTGGTTGTGAAATTTTTGTTTATTCCAGACTTTGTATTTTCAAGATGAGTATGTTTGAGGCATTGCCCTTTACACATGTTCAAAGTGCATCTGATCTTTTCTATCACAAGTCAGTCTTCATAATTCTCATTAGTGGTGTTTAAGGAAGTTCAGTGGCCATAATCTGAGCCCTGGAAGAGAATAAAGTAAAGGACCACCTCAAACTAGGGCCGATCTCGCCTTTGTGCCTTTTCTGCACCGTCTAGGGTGCATGCTTCCTTTTATGACTGCTCTCTGATTCCTTGCCTCTGTGGCTGCTGCTCCTAACTAATATGTTGTGATCACGCCTTCCTCATCACTACTTCCCCACACCCTCTGTAGTGACTTTGCAGAGGTGTAGTTAATGCTAGTTTTAGCAGTAAAGTGGAAAAGCTATTTTTGAGAAATTAGCTAAAGACCATTCGAAGACCATTGAGAATACAGAATCTTCCTCTTCCCCTTACAGTAATCTGTGTGTCTTTACACATGCCTTTAGAACGCCTTCCTTTTCAACTCTGTCCAGACTGAACAGAAGCTGACCAATTCTTCTCCCTTATTTACAAACCTCCTCAAAAGACCACTCATTTACAGACAAGCTAACAACATCTTTGCCCATTTAAACTGATGAAAAGCAGATACACAGATTTTTTTTTTTTTAATATAAGCAGGCCTGCAGCATTGGAATTGAGTGTTTGAACTGGACAAAAGGGCAAGTAGGTCAATGAGTCATTTTTCTACCTCAGTCAACACCATCCAGGTATAAGAGGTGAGGAGAGAGCCTTGATTCCACTACAGGTGGGAGTTTTGCAATATGGTCCCACTGAAAGAGAAAAGCCACAAGCCACTGAGCAGGAGTGAGGGGAGACACCAGTGTTCCTGCTCAGTTTTAGCAGTGACCTCAGCGGAGCCATGAAAGGGCCACCTCCCTGAGGAGGCAGTAGGGACTGCTGGCCCTAGGTGCAGACCATATCTCTATCGGAATATTTCCTTCTCCCCAGGCTCCATCACTTGTTCTGTGTTGTTAATTGATGTGATTTGGGTTTTGGTTCTATTTTGTTATGTTTTCTTACATGTTTCAGTTTATTGCTTTCCATTTTTTGTTTGTTTCTTTGTTTTTGGAGATGACAATGGATGTTTTTGTGAAAGCTGAGTTCCTTGTTTCTTTCTTTTGCCCATGCTGACTGTATGTTCTCTGTTGATGTCTTGTTCCTGGTTCTTGACACTGACCATCTTGTCTGTGAAAGGAGGCACTCCGGCGAGCTTGCTTGATCAGAAGAAAGGGATGTTTGCTTGGTTTAGTCACTCCACAGAGACCCATGGTAATGTTCCCCTGTGATCTGTGTGTGTAAATGTGTGTGATACATACCACATGGGAGGGGGTGTTCTCTGTGTGGCTTGTGGTATAGTAGCTACGTGTGTGTGTGTGTGTGTTTGGGTGTACATGTGTGCTCTGTGAGGGATGGTAACCCATCCCACACAAAGCCACCGTCTTCACATCTCTTCCTGTGTGTGAAGTCACAAACTGCAGCAACCCTTCACTGAGGGAGCCCCTCCTCAGGACAGCGCTAGCCAAGATCAAAGTCACCATAAATGCAGACTGGGTACTGATACAGGAAGTGCCTCGACATCCAGGATGATCTGGCTGCTCTTAGTGTCCAGGCCTGCCCACTCCTGACTGGATTCTTCCCAAGCCTGGAACCACCACCATAACACCTCTCCACTAGCACGTTTGGGACTCCAGGAGCAAAAGTCACAAAGATAGATCGCTTTCTGTACACAGCTCGGCCTCCAAGCAGCAGTGCCTGAAGTGCCGAGGGAACATTAGGTCACAGATGGCTGGCGACAGATGGGCTGAAAGACTGAAAGCTCTTCAATGTTATGACTTCTTCCTTAGTGTGAATTGAGCAAGGACCCTGTCAACCTCTGAAGGTCTGTCTTCCCAGTTCTTGGTGCTAAAACTATCCCTAAGGTCTGGTCTCGCCAGCCACCCAGACCGTGAGCCATAAAGTGATTGAAAATATTGTCGAATTCAATACCGTCTGGCTATTCACTACCCTCCAGTGATACTCCCAGAGTGTGATTTGGCTCTGGAAACTTTGTCTTTTCCTGGGGTGTAGAGTAGGGAGTTGGCCAACACTGGGGCAATCAAAATGGTACAGAGAGCATGACATTTGTGCCCCAGGCCCAGCCCTACCCCAAACACACACATGACCTAGGACATCGCACCTTTCCTCAGCTTTCGCTCCTGTGAAGTGAGGGGACAAGTTAGAGCTGAGTAATTTCCAAAGGCCCATCTAGCTCTGAACTACTATGAGATGTTGGATTTCTTTTCACCCAACCTTATTGAAAAGGAGGCCTAGGTTGTAGAGGTCTTCTATGCGTGACAGACGTGGTAAGTAATGGGCTATCGTTCACATTCTGAAATGGTTCTCTTTTTCCTAACTGACTTGCGTTCATCCACAAGAAAAGAAACTGGGAAAACACATCTCAATGATATCTGTACAACTAGTGAGAGTCTTTTCCTGGGTGACGTGGCCTCATGGGAACTTGTCACCTGATGCCACACCCTCACTAATCACAGGTCCTGTAGCTGCTGAGGGCTAGTGATTTTCTCACCAGATGACTTTTAGAAGGAGGGACCTATGACGTCATGGCTACTGTAAAGAACAAAAGTTGACAAAAGTGAGGAACTCATGGTGTCGTAGTAAAAGGGTGATAGGAAATGAAGAAGATCTCTCTGAGCTAAATTTTATTTAGAAGAAAAAATAGTAATAAAAGAAATGGTTTCTTCTAAGCCACCAAACTGGGTTCCAAACTGGAAGACTCCCACCATTCTGAACATTCAGCCCCCTGCTGGCTTGGGGAGGAGCTGGTATTGACTGGACAAGTTGGCTCGAGGAGAAGTAGATGGTTTATATCCGAAGTCAACCTGCTGGGATGGGAATGGCGAGATTGCTGAATGGGGAGATGGTGTCCCTGCAGGCTGTCTTCAAGCCGCATTTAAACCTGACTTTGTGGGTTTCACACTTAAGTTCCTCCATCTGTAATGTCAACAGTGCGGTTTCAGTCTTAGTCCCTGAGTTGGGTTGGCATTTCACTCTAAGCTTTCTATTTCAGGTATGGTCCTGGGTGTGATTGATTCAGGACCCAGCATGCACTACATGCTCGTGGTAGTGTCCATGCAGGCTGCAAACATGCCCTTTCTACAGACAAGCTGGCCTCTCATTTTGGGAATGGGACCCTGAGAGTTGGTGGGTGAAAAGAAGGGGAATAAAATATTTTCATTGAAGTTCCTCATTCTGTGGCGAGTAGCAGATGCAAATGGGGAAACTTTCACAGCCTTTCTGAGGCTATGGAGTTGAGGGCAGTGAAAGGATTTGATAGTTTTTTATTCAGGATGTATCCTAAAGGTCAAATAATTTTATCACCAGATTTCTTCTCATATTCCCACTAGTTTCAGTGTCCTTGGCTGCAAGACGTCCCCTAGACAAGGAGCAGGCATGTCAGTCAAGGAAAACCCTATACCTGGCTAGGGCAGGACCAGGGCCTTGAGTCTGCAGGTCAGCCAGCAGACATTCTCCTGAATAGCACTCACTCTGGATTAGGTGTGTTGCAATCGAACACTCTTCCATCACCCTTTCTCCCACTCTCAACATCTTGCTCTGCACCCCTTTGACTCCTGCAGTGAGCATGCCCACCAGTGAGACTGAGTCTGTCAACACCGAAAATGTGGCCGGAGGCGACATCGAGGGAGAGAACTGCGGGGCCAGGCTGGCGTGAGTAGGCACGGCAAACCCAGGGGCTGGGGCTTTCCCTGGGCTGTGGGGAGAATGGCTTGGCTCGTCCCTGGGAGGGCAGGGATTAGAGCTGGCAGCAAGGCGCAGGAGCCTCAGGTGGTAACTACGTGGGGAGGAGGGCCCCGGGGGTTGAGTGTAGCCCTCGGAGGCCAGGCCCAAAACTGAAGATAGCCTTCCTTTCGGCACTCCCGCAAGGGCCTGACTCAGACTTTGAGTACTGTTTTGTCCTATCAGATAATGGCAGAGTCTGGATAGGAGGTGGTGGACTGACTGTTTCATCCCAGTCCCGCTCGCCCCCTTGCTAACCACACTTTCCGTTCTAATAAATGACGTGGGAGAAAGGCAAACTGGCAGGAAGTGCACTGGGCCACGACAGCACCTTGGTCCCTCTCTGCAGCCAAGCTGTCCTCATGAGAGGCGAGCCCGAAATGCCACGGCACTAGTGAAAGCTCCAACTGCGCTGAGCCTTTAATGCAGCCAGCGGCCTCCTGCAGTGCCCACGCCTGGATGCTCCCTTTGCCTGGCCCTTTGGCAAAGCCAAAGCTGGACGGTGCCTCTGTAGGAAGTGGGTTCCTCTCTGGCTTCCGTGCACTGGCTTTAGCCAGGACCAGGCAAGGCTTGAGGGATCAAGGCCCGGTGGTAATGGGAACAGAGCACACACTGACCATCACTATCATTAAAACAGAAACCAGTCATCCCCACGAAATGTAGAAATGTACCCCTACAAAAAATAAAGAAGAATGCTATAATTGCCCCAAACAAGCACACTGCTGGTTTCACTACCAGTGTCTCAGAACGCCGCGTGGAGATGAAACTCGCTGGCTGTCAGAGAGCTGTCATGCTGACGGCGAGCAGAGATCTCCCCCGTCTGGGTTCCACTATGGGCGGCAGAGATGGTGTCTCCTGCTGCCTTAGGGCACAAGTGTTGGTGACCTTGGCGGCAGAGCGTCTCCTAGATGAGGAGCAGGCATGTCAGTCAGGAAGAACTTGAACCTGGCCAGGGCAGTGCCAGGGCCCCGACTCTGCAGATCAACCAGCAGCTGCACACAGGCTTCTCCTGGTGCACAAGGAACCACAAACAGCAGGCGCTGAGTGGGCCCAGTCCCAGATAAAATGAGGTTCTAGAAGGCTCTGTCAGTGGCGCAAAATCTTCTTTTACACTTCCTCTCTGAAATGACCCATGATTTAGGAAAACCTCACCCTATTAAGAAGGTAAGTTGAAGGTAAGTCTAAGCACAGCAAGGCCAGCCTTGACAATGGCCTCTAAGCCCACGCAGGGAGGGGAAGCACGGCTGAGGAACAGACGGACTCCTGCAGCCTCTCCTTCCAGGGCACCTGGGGCTTCAGCATCGCTCACTCTGACAGTGGCCCCAGGGAGTCTGCACTGCAGATTTCTTAGCATGGTTGGGAAGCAATTATTGTCAAAATGTGGTTAAAATACGTTGCTAATTACGTTTTTAAGCAGCAGTCCAAACCTGTTCCCTCTTCTCTCCTTTGGAACCATACAAAACAAGCCTTTCTGGAAGTGCGCCCCAGACAGCAGCACTCGGGAGAGGCGTACAGGAAGGCCCACAAGTTCTAGGCCTTTCTATTGTCTTGACCCCAGGAGGAGGCTTGGAAAGAAGATAGTCAGGATCCTGCACCTCTGGCTATTGGACATGGCCCACATTGCAGGCCATGAGGGGTTTGGGAGCTGGCACTAGGAAGTCCCTTGAGAGTACATCTCAGGAGCATGTGAGGTTCTGTTGGAAAGACAACATGGCTGTCCCCCGCAGAGGGCAGCTGGCAATCTGTCTATCTGTCGTTTCCTCAAAGGATGCACTCTGCTGGCTCGGGGGGCTCTGTGACAGTTATCCCCATGCATACCTACATTTATTTATCCTTTCTGAGCATGCAAAATACCCAGTCGCAGTTCCAGAATTCTTTATTTTTTTTAGGCCATTTATTTATTTCTTCCATGAGAGATAGACAGAGAGGGCGGAATTATCAACAGGACCCTCTTGCACAATCCACTCCAAGTCTTAGCCAGCCCAGATCACAGACACACACGTGCAACTCGTGTGCTCCGAGAGGTCCCAGGGTCATTCCCATGTGGGGCCAGCTGCGTTACTGCACCACCACCTGGCCCAATGGTGTACCCACCAGGTCCTAATGCACTTACTAGATCCCAGTCTTTCCTCATCTCCCAGCCCCCTACCTGCCCCAGACAGTGTCAGGATAAGACTCAGCCAACATTCCTTGTGGGACAGACAAGGAACAGGCCAAGGCTGAACCTGAGTATGAGGGTCTAAGAGACACTGAGAGATCAGCATCTTCAAAGCTAAGGGTTTAAAGGCTTGTATAAAAAGAGAAGGTCAGGATGAGAATTTATAGTAGTAAGAAGGCTGGATGAAGATGGTTCCTGTGGGGCCAGGGGACAGAGAGAAAAGAAGTGCAGTGTATTTTGTTAGGGTTGGGAGGGCAAGTGGGCAGGGAGGTGATGAAGAGGGAGGAGCCATCAAAGTTTGCAAAGAGAAACTGGGGCCTGCAGATGCCATGGTGGTTAAGGTGCTGGACTCCCAAATGGCTGACTGGAGTTCGAGTTCCTTGGAAGTCTTGCCATGCACGTGTGTGTGCGTGCACCCAAAATCCCAGGAGAATAGAGGAGAAAGGATTCCAGCATGGCCATCCCCCCTGGGGGAGGGTATTTCTCACTTTCCTTCTCACCGTCGTTCTCTGGTGAGTTCACATATCTTATGGAAAAAATAAATAAGTAAATAAATAAAAGGAAATAGAAGCTGGTTATGAGGCTGAAGTGAATTTAGAGCAGGAACCCAACCTGAGGGACCTGCAGGTATTAAATAGGCAGCAGACTATGGAGGGTAGGGGTTTGGCCCTATACAGGAACAGAGAAAGATTTTAGGTTATCAGCATGAAAACTATCAGTGAGGATTTAGGATGGGATTGTTTGTGGAGGAATAGAAAGCAGAAGACTAAGGGCTGAGCCTTGAGAGAGTAATGCACAGAGAAATAGGACCCTGCAAACAGGCAGACAAAGACATGATAGGAGCATGGGTGGCAGCCCTGACTGGGAGCCACAGAGGAGGAATTGCAGCAGAGCCATGCCTTTGTATGGCAGGGTGTCCTGCGCAGGCTTGATGGTGATGATGCACAGCTGTAGAGAAGACAGACAGCATCTCATTGGTGCTTACAGTCTAGTGTGGAAGTGACACTAATGAGAACAAACAAGCAAATTGTTCATTCTAAATTAAGATAAGTTTTAAGAAGGAAAAGTAAATTGAGTCAGCAGGTGGCGTGGTGGCTAAGGCTCTGGATCTCACATGGCTGACTCTGCAATTCAAGTCCTAGACCAAGTAGTTTGAAAACCACACCAGGTACATGTGCATGCATGTGCAAAATCCTGAGATGAGAATGGAGGAGAAGGGATGTGGCATGGCCATCCCTTTAGGGGGTGATTTCTCATTTCCCTTTCTCTTTGTCTCTCTATTGCAAGCATAATGCCCTATGGCAAAAATTTAAAAAATTAAAAAAAGAAGGAAATGAAAATGTAATGCAAGAGGAACTTAGTTTAGACTAGCAGGATAAGATAGATAGCTTCTTTGAAGAATTAAAATGTAAATTGATGATTGCATGGTGAACATAACTTTCAGAGATAAAGAGTAAGGAAGAGCATTAATTAGAGCTGCCAGCATGTTCCCAGACCCTTGGGTGCAGCCAGGACATGGTGAGGGAGAGAGTGGGGGGGGGGGGGGGGTGTGACACAGGAGATGGCAAACAGGCAGGCTGGTGGATCTCTGATCACTTTGGGTCTTTTTCATGAGAGTGTGAGAGGTCATTGAGAGGCTTTAATAACTTGGAGCTGCAAGGGAGGGTCAGTTTTCACCACGGTAAAGACTAAAGGCAATTTTCAAGGCAAAGGAGAAGCCAGTGAAAAGGAAGTAGCCAAAGATGCTGGGGAAGAAATGAGTGCTTATAGGAGGAAATTGCTTAAGAGGGTAAGCTTGAGTTTGAAGGCACAGTTTGAAAGCCTGGCTTCCATACTGGGCTTCCCCATAAGAGCTCCTTGAATGACTCATTCTCCAGGTCAAGAAACTGCAAACCAGAGGTCTGAGTGGTGTGAAAGGTCCTGTCTAGCTCTCAAAGCCTGCAGCTCTGTAAAGAATGTGGAATCAGAAACTGGCTCTGAAGAAGAGGACCTATGACAGGAGTCATACCAAATGAACCCAGTCATTTAAGAAAGTGAGCATCAGGCGTCACAAGAACTGGAAGGATGTGACAGAAAATTTGAACTGTGAGTCATCAAGAGGTCACCAAAAGATTGTTGCATGGCACTGAAGCTGCAGTGGAGATGGACACCGTAAATGCAAAGTCGTTCTCACAGAACATTTGATACATTGTTCTAGCAGATTCTAGCCTGGAACCAGTAAAATCAGGAGGAGGTGAGCCGGTGGAGGTTCATCCACCTAGGTGGGTAGTGAAGACAACTTTGGTGTGACCATGTGTCAAGCTGAGTACCATTGGGTCATTCGAAAAAATCATGACATGTTTTTCTGGTTTTCTATGTAAAAATGTGTCATGACTTTTCCAAGGACCCAATAGAAGTCAAGTCTAGTGTTAATCTTTGAGGTTCAGAAGTGCAAGTGATGGGGAAGCCCCCATGAAGCAGAAATTGGGTTCTACCAAGAAGAAAGCAAGAAAGAGAAGAGGAGACTGGCCAGAGATATGGAGGAACCTGACTCCACACCCAGCAGCTGAAGCAGAGCTGCGGAGGGCCAAGGTCCCAGGTACAAGCCTCTTCGTAGTAACAGCCGTGGTGGTACCAACTTTGTGGAACTGAGAGGCTGAGTCACATGTGACTTCAGTGTCTGACATATGTTAGAGGCAAATTTGGGGCAATTCAGGGAACGCTGTTCACACAGCATGTGGCAAACATATGGCACTCATTACCCTAAGAAAGGGAGGGAGAGGCTGAAAATACAAAAGGCTCTCAAGAAGTTCAAATATTTGTCAAATAATGAAAAATGCAAATTGAGTAAGCAAAAGAGAAAAAAAAGCATTGAGTTTGTCTCTAATTTTTGAACCTCAAGTCAGGGAGGAAAATCATGGTCTCCTGGAAGGTTTATGCTGGAAACCTGGGTGGAGAAAATATCTTGGGCTGAATGAACCACAGTTTGAACCCAACGGAGCTGCTCTCATGGTTTCTTGTGTTAGTTACTAACTTTATCTGCCTTCTTGCTTTTCTTCAAAAAGCTGCTTAAAACACGAGTAGGAACTACCTCACCAAGAATAATAATGAAAGAGAAAGCAAAGAATCCGAAGGCCCATTGGGACTTGGAAGAACTAGGAGCCTCTACTGTCATAAGGACTCTCTGAAGCTTGAGACAGTTTAAGAAAGCCAGTATGGAATACTAAGCCATAGAAAACAATGAACCCCAGGCATTTGATAGAAAGTGGTTGAATAAGGAAGCTTTAAGGCTAAGTGAAGTAAGCCAGACTACGAAAGAGAGGCATTGTATATCCCCACTTACTATATACTAAATGTCTGCACTCTATAGCAGAAATTGAAAAATTGGAAAGTACAAAAGTATGGAGACGCTCTCTCAGCTTCACTTTCAAGATGCTAAAGAAAAGAAGGAACACTGCTGTGTCAAAAAGGGCCATGGCCACGTGCAGCCTATTTGTTGTACAAACTGCACCCAACGCATGCTCAGGAACAAGGCTATTGAGAAGTTCATCCAAAACATAGTAGAGGCTGCAGTCATCAGGACATCTCCAAAGCAAGTGTCTTTGAAGCCTATGTGCTCCCCAGCCTGTATGTGAAGCTGCATTTCTGTGTGAGTTGCACCATTCATAGCAAGATAGTCAAAAACCTGTCTGGTCGGGACCAGCAGTTAGCATAATGGCTATGTCGCTGGACTCCCATGTAGTCGACCACGGTTCAATTCCCGGACCTGGTGGCTTAAACTCACACTGGGTGCATGTGTGTGCGTGCCCAAGATCCCGAGAGGAGAATGGAGGAGAAGGGATTGCGGTATGGCCATCCCCCCAGAGGGTGATTTCTCGTTTTCTGTCTCTCTGTCTCCCTCTGTCTTTCTGGCGAGCGCACATGCCCTATAGCAAAAACCTCTCAAAAACAAAACAAAACAAAACAAAACAAAACAAAACAAAAACCTATCTGGTGAAGCTCAAAAGGACCGAATGCCCTCACCCTGATTTAGACCTGCAGGTGCTGCCCCTTGGCCTCCACCAAAGCCCACAAAGGGAGCTAAGTCTTTAAGGACTGAAAAACTGTCCTCTGGGAAAAAAGCAAAATGCAAATCACACACTTTTTTAAGAAGGCATGGAAAATAAATGTGGGTACTAGAGACAGTATGGGAGGAGGGTGGGGGATGGGAGGAGGGACGGAGGACATCAAGGGGGAAGAAAAGCAAAACATTTAACGGACACAAAAATGGAAAATTATCTGTTGATAAATAAATAAATAAATAAGAAGAAGGCAGTTGGAGGAAGTATTTTCCACAGGTTAAACAGCCTGGGACATGAAGTGGTCCAGGATTCCAAGGCACTGACAGGCTTGGCTCACTAACTCGAGCTGAGCCCATCACCTTCCGGGAGGTGAGAGGCCGTGGAGCACTGGCACTTCTGTTCCCATGCAGTGGGACCCATAGCTAACTCCCTCCTGCACAGAGCAAGGGTGGGAGAATCCAGGTGCTCACTTCATAGGGCTCTAAGCTCGGCCTTCCAAGGGCCTGGGGTTTTGCTACGTCTTCAGACAAATGCCACTGGAGCAATACTCTCTCTTTCACTTTATTTTAAGTGTATGTATTAAGTTTACTTATTTCTTCCATAAGAGAGGGAGAGAGAAAAAGAGAAAGAGGACACGAAGATCTCTCCCAAAGGTGTCTTCACGCCACTACCCTACCCTGACCTCAGCCAGCCAGGGTTATAGGCATGTTTGTAATCGCCCAAACTGCTTGGGACAACCTCAGAATGCAAAACTGGGCCTGCCCCATGTGACCTCAGTATTGCCAGGCTTTATCTAACTGCCTTGCCTCTGTGGCTGGCCCGCCCACCTTTTATTTTGTTTTTAAAGAGGTTTTTGACTTAGGGCGTATGCGCTCGCTGGAAAGAGAAGAGAGACAGAGACAGTGACAGGGAGGATGGTCACACTTCAATCCTTTCTCCTCCATCCTCCCGGGATCTTCAGCACACATGCACATATGCCACTGGAGCAATACTCTCTCTTTCACTTTATTTTAAGTGTATGTATTAAGTTTACTTATTTCTTCCATAAGAGAGGGAGAGAGAAAAAGAGAAAGAGGACACGAAGATCTCTCCCAAAGGTGTCTTCACGCCACTACCCTACCCTGACCTCAGCCAGCCAGGGTTATAGGCATGTTTGTAATCGCCCAAACTGCTTGGGACAACCTCAGAATGCAAAACTGGGCCTGCCCCATGTGACCTCAGTATTGCCAGGCTTTATCTAACTGCCTTGCCTCTGTGGCTGGCCCGCCCACCTTTTATTTTGTTTTTAAAGAGGTTTTTGACTTAGGGCGTATGCGCTCGCTGGAAAGAGAAGAGAGACAGAGACAGTGACAGGGAGGATGGTCACACTTCAATCCTTTCTCCTCCATCCTCCCGGGATCTTCAGCACACATGCACATGCACCCAGCATGAGTGCACCCACATAACTGCTATGCCATCTGCTGGACTGGTTCTTAGCATTTCTGCTGGTTGTTTACAAAACATGATAACCTTAAAAGGAAATAAATGTTTCATTCTCAGTGAACCTAAACTATGCTCACAACCCCTGAGAACAGCAACAGCAGCAAAAACCGGTCTTCCAGTGTGGCGCCCAGGTTTAAACCTTAGGACTGTGGTGGAGTGGTCTTGAAACACCACTCCATTCTTCCTCTCAGAACATGCCCGGGCGCTCGGGTAGGACACGGCATCGATGCGCACACCTGAGCTCAGATCTCCTGCCAGTCCATTGCCCCGCCCCGATCCTCACTGTGCCTTGGGAGATATGAATACCACATTGAGGCTTCCCCACGTGGGAGCTTCTGAGAACTGACTTTTGCTTACATAAGCAAGAGCCTTATGGGTCAGGGCAGTGGTCTGCATTAAGAGCCCCAGGGAAAGGACCAGACCTTTCTGAAAGAAGGCCTAGGCTGGGCTGAAGGCCAAAGTCACCCACTCTGGGTTATAGTAATCCAAAGCAAGGAGAGGCAGCTGCCCGAAGCAAGCCTGGGAGGGACGCTGAAGGTCCTGAGCTCAAACTGGCCCTGCAGAGGAGACAGCACCCGGCTACCCACCACCCAATTAGCAGCTGGAAGACATCGCTTCCTCCATTAAACTGACTCTAAATAAAAATGCTGCCCTGGGCTCCTGGTCCCCCTCCCACATGCTTTGTTAACATGTGATTAAACTCTCCAGCCCTAGCCTGCAGTCTTTGGGGGTGGCAAAAGGTTATTAGCCAGTGGTTCAGACCAGCAAAAGCACTCAGCTCTGACTCTCAAGGCCCCAGAGATATAATTATCTCATGCACGATGCCTTTGCCACCTGTCACATTCTCTGGTTTAATTTTTTTTTTAATAAAAAATAATGAGAGGGTTTGGTGTTTTCTTGCCATGAGACACAGCTTGCCTTATGCTGGGCTGGGCTGGGTGGTACAGGCTGGCAGTGCCACTCCCACCCTGTCTTCTGGTCCTCCCCACACCCTCCTTGTCCCTCCATTGCTGCCTCCATCCCTTCTTCCTCTCCATCCAGCATCCTGTCTCCCTGTTCAGATCAGCACTGTCATTCTACCTGCAGCATTCACTCCAACACTCACTCCCTTCCCAAGGCCCTGATGATAGCCGCCTACAGACTGGTCTCCAGGGCTCTCGGGCCTCCCTCTCCTCCACGCTCCTCTCTCACCCTTTGCCCAGCCTGCCCTAACTCTCTCGGGTAGTCTCAGGGCTGCCTTGGAGGTCCTGCCTTTCAGTGGAACTCCCTCCCTCTGTGATGACACAGCCACCAGCATACCCACCCGTGCCTCTGCCCTCAGGTCCCCTGATCCGCAGGGCAGCACGTGAGGGTCAGCAGCCCAAGCCTCTCTTCGGAACCCATGGCCATTTATTTAGTCCACTTGGAGGCTCCTAGGCTGGGACTCTATTTCCAGCAGCTCCTCATGCAGTTTCCACACCATAACCTAGCTGTGGCAGCTCCTGGCAGACAGCAGCAAGGCCTGTTCCAGCCCGTGCCCACCTGTGATGTTTCTGCTGGGGTCTCAAGGTGCAGCTGCTCCTAGCACACTGTAGCCTGACCTCATGGGGCTGGCTGTGCAGACCCTGATCATCTGAACACGGTGCTGTCCCTCTCCAGGGAGGTCATTATTTAGAAGACACCAGATTAGTAGACAGAGGGGCCAGGCCTCAGTCTCTACATTGAACTTCTCTAGGGTCATCGAACATCCCTAAACAGAAGAATATGTATGTCCTTTGATAATGTTTTCTTTTTCTCTTTCAGCCACCGGATCTCCAAATCGAAGTTCAGGTGAGTGATATATAAGCTCTTCCTTTCTCTGCCCACCAATTCTACCCTCTAGCAGTTGAGGAGTGGAATGTGGCAGTTACCTGCTTTCTTTTTGCATGGCTATTGGGAAGAGGCTAATGGATAAGATGAGACAAAAAACTTGAAGGATTGAAATATGTTGAATTTGGGGCCAGCAGATGGTTAAGATGCTGGACTCCTACATGGCCAACTGTGGTTCGAGTCCCAAACCTGGTGGCTTGAAAATCATACCAGGCATGTGTGCATGCATGCCTAAGATCCCAGGAAGAGAATGGAAGATAAGGAATGTGGTGTGGCCACCACGCCCTCCCCAGGGGTGCTGATTTCTCACTTTCCCTCTCACTGTCTCTGTTTGTCTCTAGTGAGCGCATGTGCCCTATGGCAAAAGTCTAAAAAAAAAAAAAAGAAAAAAGAAATATGTTTAATTGTCTTGAACTCTCAGTCTTTCGGGCAGTACGGTCCCTAGGTAATTGAGACCAAATGTGCCCCCTTCCTTTATAAGATAAAGTCCAGTTAAGATAAGCATGAAGTGAACTCTTAGTACTATCTTGAAGTAGTTCATGTTTGTGGAATATGGTAAGGTGAGAACCTCAAGGATTAGGGACAGCACAGAGGACCATAATGCCACTCTGTCACTGCTCTGTAAAGATGTCAGACCCCTTCCGAGAACCTGGACGTCTCTGCCTTTGTTTTCTGACCCCACAGCTCTGTTGGTCCCTGACTGAGAGCACCTACACACCTCATCTAACTGTATGGGCTCCCCAATCTCCCTCCCAGTGCAGGAACAGGCTTGGGGAGGTAGAGAGCCAGGAGCACTGTCACAGCTCGTCCCCCCACCTGTGCCCGTCACCTCGGCACCAGCCCAGCAGAGCTCTAAGCCAGAGGCTGACACTAGCCCTGATGTTCTCGGGCCTCCCCATGACTTTCTGGGTATGTGCAAGCATGCTCTTGATATTGGTGTCCAGTAGCTGAGAACTGAATGAGGACACTGGTGTCTGACTTTCCGCTCCACTTCCGACACCATTTTCCTCTCATATTCTACTGGGACTAGAAAATGCATTTTTTTTCCCTTTCACCTTTCTCTCAAACCAAGACCTCCTTTACTTAAAAGTCTAAGATGAGGTCTGCCAGGTCTAACGTTTACTACATAAAAGAAAGCTCAATGGGACCAGCAGCTAGCGTAACAGCTATGTCACTGGACTCCCATGTAGTTGACCGTGGTTCGAGTCCTAGACCCGGTGGCTTAAACTCTTGCCGGATGTGTGTGCGTGTGTGCCCAAGATCCCAAGAGGAGAGTGGAGGAGAAGAGATTGTGGCGTGGCCATCCCCTCTGGGGGGTGATTTCTCGCTTTCTGTCTCTCTGTCTCTTTGTCTTTCTGGCAAGCATACACGCCCTATAGCAAAAACCTCTCCAAAAAAGAAAGAAAGAAAAAGAAAGAAAGAAAGAAAGAAAGAAAGAAAGAAAGAAAGAAAGAAAGAAAGAAAGAAAGAAAGAAAGAAAGAAAGAGAGAAAGAGAGAAAGAGAGAAAGAAAGAAAGAAAAAGAACGCAAGAAATACATACAAGTATTTATGTGTGTGTGTGTGTGTGTGTGTGCTTGTGTGCATGTAAAAGTCTGCTTTTAGCATCTGGAGAAGTGGCTGGTACATGATAGGGACCTAATAAATATTTGCTGAGCGAACAAATGAATGAATGAATGAATTGTCTTGCCTCAAGATGATAGACTTGACAAATACAAGTGTCAGGGTTCAAATAAAATAGCTAACTTAACAGCCACAGTTGGAAGTGCTTTTAGCCGTTCCAAAGCCTTCAGACAGTAAAGTAAAGGGATATAAAAATACATTTGAAAATATTTCCAAAATATCATTCTCATTACATGCAAATGAGTGAATCATGAATGAATGAGGGAACATGCTCTGTAGGGTGGAAGAGGTTATTAGATTCTTGTATGGGCTCTCTCGAGTCAGAGATTGCCCAGAACACTGGGTAAATGTTTGTTTTTCATTCAGTGGACTACAAGGGACTTCAGGAAATTCGTGGAAAATGGATTCAATTATAAGTTCTTTCCTGTGCAAAATATTTTGAAATTCATGCATAACTTTTTCACAACATGCATTTTCCATGAGCTTTTGAAGACTCCTTTGTACAATATAACCTGTGCCCAGGTCCTGTGAAAACGAGAGGAAGAAAGGTGGTGCTTGTAAACTTCTGGAACCTTTGCTCCACTTTGAGACTTGCTCAGCCTTCTGTGGACCAGTCATTTAACTGCACTCACCTCTGGGAGCATCCCTCCTTCTGCAGCCTCCACTGGGGATCTGTCAGAAACGTGGAGGGCAGGCTTTGTTAATGCCAGCAGGCTGGTTGCTAGTGGGTTGGTGCTACCGTTAAACCCATTCTCAGATGAGGGTGCCAGGACTTAGGGAGGCCAGCGGCAAACAGCTCGTGAACGGCCGAGTCGGAACTCACGCTCAGGAGCCCAGCTGCTAACCGCCGTGCCACCTTAGTGAGGTCTGCCCCGGAGCGCTAAGCCCTGTTGCTGCACAGCTGTTCCCTCTTGAGCACAGAGTAGCTAGCTCTAGATTGGAGCTGTGGAGTAGAAATTCAATTCAAGTAACTCACATACTGTAAATGTCTCTGGTAGCCATGTTAAGAGAGTAAAGAGGGCCTACCACAGTATGATGGTTAATGCACTGGGTCCCATATGGCCAACTACGCCGTTTGAACCTTGGACCCAGCAGCTTGAAAAACACGCCAGGCGTGTACGTGTGCATGCCCACAATCCCAAAAGGGGATGGGAAAGAAGGAATCGTGGCGTGGTTATCCCCCAAGGGGTGCTTCTCACTTTCCTCTTTCTTGCTCTCTCTGGCAAGCACCAGATAGCCAACAAATAATAATAATAATATAATCAGTACTTAATAAATATTTTTAAAAGAAAGTAAAAAGAAACAGGAGAATTAGTCTCAATATTTTTTATTTAAACCACTGTATCTAAAACATTATCATTTTATTATGTAGTTAATATTTTTTAAATTTAATGAGATTGTTTTATTTACTTATCTTTTTGGAACTAGGTCATTGAAGCCCGATGTGTATTTACACGCATTGCACTTCCCAGCTCAGACTGAACACCTCTCAGGTGCACAGCAGCCACCTGCTGCTAGTGGCTACCACTGGGACAGCATTGCCCCAGGGACTCCGCATAGACTCAGACAGTAGCAGCTCGTCTAGGTTCCCAGCTCACTGACGGGTCTGGTTAGGGAGTTAATCAAAAGCTGGCATAGAGGGACCAGCAGTTAGCGTAATGGCTATGTTGCTGGACTCCCAATGTAGTCTACCGCAGTTCACGTCTGGACCCTGTGGCTTAAACTCATGCCGGGGCACATGTGTGTGCATGCCCAAGATCCCAGGAGAAGAATGGAGGAGAAACGATTGCGACATGGCCATCTCCCCTTGGGTGTGATTTCTCGCTTTCTGTCTCTCTGTCTCTCTCTGTCTTTCTGGCAAGCACACTTGCCCTATAGCAAAAACCACTCCAAAAGAGAGAGAGAGAGAGAAAAGCAGGCAGTAGATTGAAGGTGCCACCAAAATGGTCCGAGTAAGCATAGCCATTCTCTCAGCTGAGACAGCTTAACAATAACAAATCAGGAATTTGAGCTCCGAATGGCCAATTTCATTCACAAGACCAAATGAAACAAAGTCATGATTTATCTGAAAAAAATATCAGATTGGAGCTTTTAGGGAGAATGTGGTGAATTAATGGACTTATAATATTAGAGTACTATTAGAGAATTCCCTCGTAATCCTGATCTCCCCTTGGAGAAGTTAGGTAAAATGAATTTGCAGCATTAGGGTTCACCAGTCAGAATGGGATGCAAGCAGCTTGGAACAAATGATTCAGGACGCCTTCTGCAATGTGAAGGGGTTAATCAGATAACCTGTTGGTCCCCATATCTCACCTGCAGTCTGCAGTGACCTTCTCGGGGTTCTATGGGGAGGACTGTCTTGCCCATCTTTAGTGAAATGTGCTCCCGTTCTTCCCGCGCACCCTGCCATGCCATCAGATCAAAATTTGCCCTGCTCTCCAATTAAAGTTACTAATTTATGAAACAATTACATTTTGTTCCTCAGTTCTGTTTTTAAAAAGATGGACATTTACTCTAGCCTCTAGGAAGAGCCTGCAGTGTCTGCCTTGTTGTCTACTCTGCAAGGTGTCCATGGGGGATTGTGTGCCTCACCTCACCCCACCCTCACCCCTGGGTCACAAGAGCTTGGGGGCTCTTGAGCCTTGCCTTTAGAAGTAGTAAACCTGTGCAGGGTGTCTCCGCTGTTCCGCCGATCTGCCTGCCAAGGGTTGCGTGAGGTGGACCGTGCTAAATGTGACAGGTCTGTAACAAACTATAGGACTCTTTTCCTTCTCCTCATGGATCTTATGATCTCATTGGAGAGGGAGGGGTCATGAAAACAAGAGATAACTGACAGTACAAGGAGACCTTAGATTATTTCCTGGGAGAACCCTTTCCTGGCTTCTCCCCGCCCGGCAGGATGCCCTGTATGGGATCCTGGGGCAGCTATGGTGGCTGCTCTGGTGTAGACAAGAACTCTGTCTGTTGTGTTGGCTAGTGAATACCTAGGACCTGGTCCATGGGAGCCATTTCATAAATATCTCCAATGTGTAGCCAATGAGTAATGCAGACAATACATCCTACAGGAATCCCACTGCTGGGAAGAAAGTTCACCAGGGAGAAGTTGGGACTCCAGCTGAGCCTTTTTCTTTTTTAAATTGTTTTGGTTATAGAGTGTGTGTGCATGTGTGTATGCATGTTCACTCAAGAGAGAGAGAAAGAGAGAAATCATCTCCCGGGGGATGGCTATGGCGCAATCCCTTCTCCTCCATCTTCGTCTCGGGATTTTCAGTACGTGTCCATTGTTATTTTCAAGTCATCATGCAGGACTTGAACTGTGCAATCGGCCATGTGGAATCCAGTTGCCTTAACCTCCATGCCACTTGCTGGCCTTAAAGGATGAGAAGGGCAGAGAAGGAGACAGAAGGCGGAGAGCTTGGTAGTTGGGAGGACATTCTGTGTAGCTGGAAATGCAAGTGCAAGGCCCAGTGCTGGGAAAGGGAAGGCGGGCCCGGGGCGAGTGAGCAGAGCTTTCCCGTGGGAGTGCGATGACATGGAGGCCCAGACAACATGTGGCACGCACTCGTGCCGTCCTTCTCGCTCATGCCCGAATGTGCAAGGTCTATTTCTAGAGTGAACGACTTCCAGTTAATGTGAAGGGAACACGAATAGCAGGCGAATTTCTCCTCCCTATTTTATTATTTAATTTCTATATCCTCCATGCATATGTAAACACAAATAAATTTACATATTCTAATAAAGCATTGCCTGTATTATACAGTAGGAAATGTTGCCAGGAAACCAGTTGTCAAGCAAAGCTAAATTTTGAAGAGTGGGAGGTGTATAATTATCTTTAAATACTTTCTCTGGATAGTAATTACCCCACCCCCACCCCAGCCTGAACCCACGTGACTCTGCTGAGTGGTTGTGTGCCAGAGCAGCCAGATTTAACAGGATACCACCCTGTCACTCCTTCAGGGTTTGAGCAGAGCAGTTTCAGACCTGTGGGTCAGGCCTGATCATGTACCCCACATCTACTCTCCCAAACGTGGGGTAAGGAGGGGGGTAACAGGCTCTTGGCATTGAGCTGACTAATCAGTTCCTACATCTGTCAAGGAAAACAACCCTGATTGCTGTGGACCCAATTAACAATTGTCAGTAACTTCTGCAACGTGAGATTTAAACATATATTGTGCAACTGTAATGTAAGCTATTTAAATTCAGATACAAATTTGTCCTGAAAATTCATTTCTCAGGAAATAAATCACCTTACCTCATTGCTCTACAGTATTAGAATCACAGACACAGGAAAGATGCATTTGCACCCTGGCGAGATGAGAGCGCTGGGCCTCAGTATCCATCTGGCAGCCTCCAGAGGCCGCCTCTCACTGAGGCCCGCCTGGGCCTCCTTGCCCAAGCCTGTGATGTTCTTTGCCCTCCACCCCCTCACATCCAGACTAAGCCTGGAGGGTGCTCGCAGCCCGTTTCTGAGCCTGTGGTCTGTCTTCTCTGTGCAGTGCTTCTCCAGAGGTTTGATGACATTGAGGATGTGTCCAGGCACTCAGAGTCAGAGGAGCCGGGCCAGAACACCACGCAGGCTCTTCTTTATCCCCCTTCTGCTCTGCAGGCCACACTAAGTCCTGCTGCAGCTCTCAGGAAAAGGCTTCTCTTCCTAGGTTGCTCCTCCATCTTCTAATCTCATGGTAGATGTTGACAAAGGCTTGGCAACAGGCTATTCCAGGGTAGGACAATGACAGAGTAGGAGTGCAGACCAAGTCAAGGCCCTGTCAAGGCCCTAACAGCAGAGGTGCACACACACTGTGTCGTGGCACCCCGGCGGTTGGTGGTGTCAAAGGGTTGAGGCTGGAGGGACAGACCAGGTCACATGACTAGCCTGGAACCCACTTGGGCACACTGATTGGGCTGCGGGTGAGTGCACCATCATAGAGATGCAGCGTGGTGCTTGGGTGGAGCGGCCCTTCAAAGGGAGCCACCCAGGCACTTACATTCATCTGGCCAAAAGACAGGACATACTATGAATTCTGACTTGGAATACAGGGCCTCAGTTCAGTTTCCTTGCCCTAAAGTAGAGGGCTACTTCTCACACTCTGACACAATCGACTTGCACCTACATGCATGCATACATGCACACAAATGAAAAAAATGTTTAAGTGTTCTTACTATTTTTTAGGAAGTGTCCTTATATAATATGACATGCACTGTGATGATTTCCATTCTATTCCTTTTCTCAGGGCCGGTCATGACTTACTAGATAGATTGCATGACCCGCTAATGGGCCGCTGCATGAGGTTTGGAAATCTCTGCTCCCAGGCAGACCCTGCATGCCTGCCTGGTGGGCTAGAGAGAGTCATGGAAGGAGATGATTTGAGGAAGAGTACAGAAAGGCATGGGCTGTTGCTCTAAGATTCTGCTTTGCTTCCCCTGCCCAATTTACTACCCAAGCAGGGGCCTGGGTCTGGCTAAAACCCTGCAAGCCCCAGGCTCACATCCAGAGAGGAGTGCCTGCCGGCTCACAGCTGACCTCAGCTCCCTCCTCTGGCCCCATGCTGGTTAGTGTGCTCCTCCCAGATAGCCCCAGCTAGAAATTCTGGCAGTCCCTTTTCCACCTTCCTCTCATCCTGCCCATCCAGTCATCTCAAAGTCCTCTTGATGCTGCCCCCAAATGGCTGTCCACTCAATGTCCTCTTTTCCACTGATGAAGATATTGCCATTATCACCTCCAACCCAGACAACTGGAAACATTCTTCATACTGTTCCTGATCCAGATGTTGACAAGGCAGTTGTTTTTGGCGGATGTTTGGGTTTCTAAAATCACATCCACTCATGTCATTCCTCCTTTCTAAGTCCTTATCATGGCCCTCTGCAGTCTCTTTCTCTCTCTCTCTTTCTCTCTCTCTCTCACACACACACACGCAGCGAACACCTCTCCAGCACTCCCTCTCTTTCCTCTTCTGCACAGTGTAGGCATTTATTAAAAATGTCATCATCTGAGTTTCCAAATATAGCCATTTATTTTCTCTGTTCAAAACGATGAAATTAGGGACACACTGTAAATCCTTATATCACAGAATCCTGAAAACAGAATGTTCCTTTGAAATCGTCTGACTCAGTGGTTCTCAACCACAATGACACATAAGAACCAGTTTGGGGCTGCTACAATACAGTCCCCAGTCCTCAAAGAACTAAGTGGTGACTGTTGGGGCCATATGCGTGCCCTGGAAGCCCCCAGGCCCACATCCAGAATGGGGTGCCCCGTCTCTCACAGCTGGTCTCACCTCTCTGGCATTGGTGGGGCTTTGGAAAGCATCCCTAGGTAATTCTCTATGTGGTGAGGTTTGAAAATCAGACAAACGTCTCTAACCAAGGGACTATGGGGACATTATAGGGACCATGAATATGCTTCAAGGGGTCCATGTACTGCATGCACTTTAAAGGTGTGCATGTGTGCTTGGGTGGGTTAAGGGACTCAGTGCCCATTTTTCATCAGATTGTCAATAGATTCTACAACCCCCGAAAGCAAGAGCCCTCCAGTCCAGATTAGCCCTGGCAGTCCAGGCAGCCTGGGCCAGGGGCAAGAGATGGGGCTAGAGAGAAAACCAGTCTTGCCCTGCCACTGTGTGGTACTGGTCAAGTCACTTGACCTCTATGACCCTTCCTTCTTCCCCTCTACAAAATAAAGATAACACTTCCTTTGCAGAGGTGTTCGTTTTGTTTTTGCCATAGAGCATGTGCGCTTGTCAGAGAGAGGAGAGAGGAAAATAAGAATCGGCTCCCAGGGGAATGCCCACGCCACAGTCCCTTCTCCTTGGGGCTGCTACAATACAGTCCCCAGTCCTCAAAGAACTAAGTGGTGACTGTTGGGGCCATATGCGTGCCCTGGAAGCCCCCAGGCCCACATCCAGAATGGGGTGCCCCGTCTCTCACAGCTGGTCTCACCTCTCTGGCATTGGTGGGGCTTTGGAAAGCATCCCTAGGTAATTCTCTATGTGGTGAGGTTTGAAAATCAGACAAACGTCTCTAACCAAGGGACTATGGGGACATTATAGGGACCATGAATATGCTTCAAGGGGTCCATGTACTGCATGCACTTTAAAGGTGTGCATGTGTGCTTGGGTGGGTTAAGGGACTCAGTGCCCATTTTTCATCAGATTGTCAATAGATTCTACAACCCCCGAAAGCAAGAGCCCTCCAGTCCAGATTAGCCCTGGCAGTCCAGGCAGCCTGGGCCAGGGGCAAGAGATGGGGCTAGAGAGAAAACCAGTCTTGCCCTGCCACTGTGTGGTACTGGTCAAGTCACTTGACCTCTATGACCCTTCCTTCTTCCCCTCTACAAAATAAAGATAACACTTCCTTTGCAGAGGTGTTCGTTTTGTTTTTGCCATAGAGCATGTGCGCTTGTCAGAGAGAGGAGAGAGGAAAATAAGAATCGGCTCCCAGGGGAATGCCCACGCCACAGTCCCTTCTCCTCCATTCTCCTCTCGGGATTAGGCACACATGTACATACGCCTGGTGTTTTCCAAGCTGCTAGATTCTGAACTCAAACCAAGGCATTCAGCCATGTGGGGTCCAGCCAACTTAATCTCTGCACCACCTGCCTGACCCCTGAGGTATCTGAAGAACCAGGGAGAAAGTCTGAGATGTGGGGACACCATCACTAATAATGAAAATACTCTTAATATTTAAAATGAAACTTCTGTTCAGTAATAATGCTGTGATCAGAAAAGAAAAGTACTTCCACTTACTGAACAGCTTTACCTTTGTGGCAGGTGTGTCACATGGCGCTTTGCCAGTCCCCACATTACCTTCTGAGGTTCATCCTATTCGCATCTCACGGGGGAGAGATCCGAGGCTTACGGCAGTTCAGGGCCAGACGAAGGCTGCGCAACCACGCAGCAGAGCCCAGTTCACTCTGGAGAGCCTGTCTTCTCACCACCAGTCCACATCACTGGTGGGCCAGGCCCCTCGGGGACGATACCCTGTGCTGTGTTTGGGACCAGGAGAAATCTGAATGTCACAGCCAGTCCTGTCATTTCTCCTTGCCCCCTTGCCAGCCGCTACTGGCGCCGCTGGAACCGGTTCTGCAGAAGGAAGTGCCGCGCCGCGGTCAAGTCTAATGTGTTCTACTGGCTTGTGATCTTCCTGGTGTTCCTCAACACACTCACCATCGCCTCCGAGCACTACAACCAGCCCCACTGGCTCACGGAAGTCCAAGGTGAGCTGCAGCCCCAGCTCTTGTTGGAATTGCTGTCTCAGTCTGCTCTCGTGAACTCAGCCTTGAGACCGAGGCAGGGAAGAACCACAGGCAGAGGCTGACGGGGAAGCAGCTGAAGACCCAGCCTGGCAGGTGCCACACTGGAGACCCCAAGGGCCTGGCAGCTTGCCGGCCCACAGTAAATCACAACCTCATCAGAAACAGATGTGGCCAGCCTGACTGGGCCGTGCCATCTGCCCCACAGTCATGGTGGGGTCCGGGTGACAGGGACACCAGCTGTAGGTTGTTGAGCTGGTCCTTGGCTGCCAGCTCCCCGGAGTGGAGTTTCAACACCTCTGGCCTACCGCAGCCTGAAGTAAACTCATCCAGAGTCTGAGGATGAGATGGAAGGGCAGAGGGAAGGAGGCAGAGAGCACAGGGAACTGTCCTCCAGGGATGGTTAGTCCTCGTCACCCTCCCCGGACCTCTCGAAGGGGGTCCCACCAGCCCCACCCCTGTGTCCTCCCGGGTGGTCTTGCAGACAGGGCCCTGTACTGGAAGGGGGCTGCAGTCCAGAACCCTGGGAGGCACAGAGGTCAGATAGCCTGCTTCACATTTGGGCCGCACATCTTGATAGAACCCCATTTCTCATCTCTGGAAAATGGGCATGGCATGGTGGAGCCAGCCTCACAGCGCCAGGGAGGCATGAGGATGGCAAAGCACGCAGAGCCTCTGAAGCTCCCTGTGCTTCGTCAGTGCTCAGGGCAACTAGGACTTGGTTTCCTTTCCCCATTGGTGTGGCTCTAATTGTTCTGTTCTGGTGGGATTGGACAGGAGAGGTATGGGTGGGAGGGAATACTTGGGTCTTTGATTTCCTGGGGTGGTGATGACTGTGTTTTCATTCCCTCCTTCCCTCTGCCCACCTGCTGGGATGCCCCCACCCACCAGACACGGCCAACAAGGCCTTACTGGCCCTGTTCACTGCGGAGATGCTTCTGAAGATGTACAGCCTGGGCCTGCAGGCCTATTTTGTGTCCCTCTTCAACCGCTTTGACTGCTTCATCGTGTGCGGGGGCATCCTGGAGACCATCCTGGTGGAGACCAAGATCATGTCCCCCTTGGGCATCTCCGTGCTGAGATGCGTCCGGCTACTGAGGATATTTAAAATCACAAGGTATTTGGCCCCTTGTTTCACTTGGGAGATGGGACTGGGCTCCCGGACAAGTTCTTCCGGAAGGCCAGGGAGGTGGAGTGCCTGGGTGGGAAAGTAGCTGCTATTTCCTGGAGGGTCTGGCCTCACATGCAAAGAAGGGAAGGTCTTGTTCTTTTTGATGGCATAGTATTTAGAAATCCTTTGGCTGCTCATACCAGGGACTCAACTCTGCAGTGTAAGCAGATTTGGAGTTTGTTTAGAGACGCAAAAGAGGTCCAGAGGCAGACAGCCTGAGTGCCTTCGGGAAAGTATTGGAAACTCAGTCTCCCACTGTGCTTTGCCAAGAATGTTGAGTCCCCAGGGTCACAAGGTGGTTTCTGAGATGGAGCCAGCAGGTTTGAATTTGAGGCAGGAGGAGAAAGGGGCAAAGGGTCAGCCAACCAGCTGCGTCGACCTCTGTATTCCCCAGAATATCTCTCAGACATACCCATTAGGAAGACTACTAGTGAAAAATAAAACAAAATAACAGGTGTTGATGATGTTCACTGCTGGTGAGAATGGAAAATGGAAAAGTTACTGTGGGAAAAAGGAGGTGGTTCTTTAGAAAACTCGAAACAAAATTCTTGGGTTATCCAGCAAATCTGCTTCTGGTTGTATACTGCAAAGGACTGAAATCAGGGGCTCAGAGAGATAGCTCTACACCATTTCACGGCAGCATTATTTACAGTAGCTACAACACAGACGCAATCCAGTGTCCACAGGTGGACGAATGGAGAAACAAAAGGTCGTCTATACATACAACAGCAGAGTACCCTTTAGCCTTCACAAAGAAGGAAATCCAATGTGTGCTACAGCGTGGAGGAACCTTGAGGACTTCACACTGAGTGAGGCGACCCAGTCACACAGGACAGCGATGGCAGGAGCCCACTCGTGTGAGGCATTTCAGAGTGGTGACGACCTTAGAGGCAGCAAGGAGAGTGGTGATCGTCAGATACGGGGCAGGGGATGGGGAGCTACTGTTTAATGGGATAGAGTTCCAGTTCCAAGATGAGAAGAGTTCTGCAGAAGGACGTGGTGACAGCTACACGGCAGTAAGAATGTGTTCAATACCACTGAACCATACACTCAGAAAATGGTTAAGGTGGTCATCTTGTGTGTAGTTCAACACACGCACACACACAAATCAGGAAAAAATAGTCTCTCCCAGAAACTCACCAAGGGCTTCTGTTCTCATGGGCCACCCTGGGCGGCAGGAGGGCTGAGAAGTGTGGTCTTTTAGCTGAGCATGTGCTAGTGCAAATGCACCAGACTCGGTAACTGCAGAGGGCGACAGGTAGCGCCGCAGATGGCTTCCGTCCCTCCTTCCACACTCCACCCCCTCTCCATCTGTCTGTCCATCTGCCTGCCCACACATCGCAGTCTACCTCCCTCTCAGAGCAAGCAGTGCTTCTCTTGCAGAGGTCCGCCTGGGGGAGGGGAAAGGGCAGGAGCAGGCAGTGTGCGCTAGGTCGATGGTTCTCAACTGCCTTGACCCAGTTGAAATGACGAAATCAATTCATCAAAAGACAATCATCATTTTCAAAGCTTTACTGAGATATAACTCATATAACCATATAGTCACCCTTTCAAAGTATACAATTTATAGCGTGTGTGTGTGTGTGTGTGTGTGTGTGTGTGTGTGTGGTATAATCGGAGTTTTGCAACCATCACTGCCTTCTAGTTTTAGAACGGTTTTATCACCCACAGTGAAGTTCCAAACCCACTCCCTATTTCCCCCACCTTCCCTCCCAGCCCTAGGCAACTACTAAGTTACAGTCTCCCTCTACAGACTTGCCTCTTCTGGACAATCCACATACGAGAAATCATGCACTATCTGGTCTTCGTGTCTGCCTTGTCTCACTTAGCATCACGTTGTCTAGGCTCACCCGTGCTGTGGCGTGTATCAGTCCTCCGTTGCCCTTATGGTGGACTGGTGCTCCATCACATGGGCATTACCTACCCCTTCATGCACTCATCAATGCTGCGCGTGGACTTCTTACTACCTTCCGGCTACCGTGACTGCTGCTGCTACGAACAGTCTTGTTTCAGTTTTTATGTGGATACGTAGTTCATTCACTTGAATATATAGCTAGGAGTAGAATTTCTAGATCATTTGAAAACTCTGTGTTTAAAATTTTGAGGACCTGTCAAACTGTTTTCCCAAGAGACTAGACCAATTTACATTCCCTCTAGTGCTGTATAAGGGTTTCAATTTCACTACATTTTCATAACCATCATTTAAAATAAAATAACAGAATGGGAAAACATCAGAGGGTCTCACAAGAACATAGGCCTTATTTCATGGAAATCTGGCCCAGCCAGGTGGTGCGGTCATGGATGACCTTGGGGTTGAATCTCCAGGGTAGTCTGGAAACAGAACACATGCTGGGTGAGTGTGCGGGCACCCCAGAGCCTAAGGAGCTAGAAGGCTGAGGAAAGGGGATTGAGACGTGATGAGGCCCTGCTGAGGGTGCTTTCTTTCTCACCTTCTCTCTCTCATAAAGACAAGAAATTTTAGAGCTGTGTGTCTGAATTGTGCCATGACGTATACTTCTTGGTGGGGATGATGGGCAGCCGTGGAGGAACATACAAGAAAACATGTAGAGGGACTTTTCCAAACTGTGCCCCCCTCAGAACACATGCTCCCTCTCCATAAGAATCTCTGCTTTGGGGCCAGCAGGTGGCACAGAGGTTAAGGCAGCTGGATCTCACATGGTTGATTGCATGATTCAAGTCCTGGACCCTGCTGGCTTGAAAAACACGCCAGGTGCATGTGTATGCAAGCCCAAAACCCTGAAAGGAGAATAGAAGAGAAGGAATTGTGATGCGGCCACAGGGAGTGCTTTCTCACTTTCCCTCTCTACCCCTGTCTCTGGTGAGTGTGCGTGCCCATAGCAATATGTATATATAGGTGGATAGATAAAGAGAGAGTGAGAGAGATTGAGAGAGATTTTATACATACATATATAATATATAGAGAGATTTTATATGTGTGTGTATATACACACATATATGTAGAGACAGATTTTATATATATATATATGTAAATAGTGATTATATATATGTGTGTGTGTATATATATATATAGGTGGATAGATAAAGAGAGAGTAAGAGAGATTGAGAGAGATTTTATACATACATATATAATATATAGAGAGATTGTATATGTGTGGGTATATACACACATATATGTAGAGACAGATTTTATATATATATATATGTAAATAGTGATTATATATATGTGTGTGTGTATATATATATATAGGTGGATAGATAAAGAGAGAGTAAGAGAGATTGAGAGAGATTTTATACATACATATATAATATATAGAGAGATTGTATATGTGTGGGTATATACACACATATATGTAGAGACAGATTTTATATATATATATATGTAAATAGTGATTATATATATGTGTGTGTGTATATATATATATAGGTGGATAGATAGAGAGAGAGAGATTGAGAGAGATTTTATACATACATACATATATAATATATGTGGAGAGATTTTATATGTGTGTGTGTATATATATATATAGGTGGATAGATAGAGAGAGAGAGATTGAGAGAGATTTTATACATACATATATAATATGTAGAGAGATTTTATATGTGTGTGTGTATATATATATATAGGTGGATAGATAGAGAGAGAGAGATTGAGAGAGATTTTATACATACATATATAATATGTAGAGAGATTTTATATGTGCATGTATATACACACATATATGTAGAGACAGATTTTATATATATATATGTAGAGAGAGATTATATATGTGTGTGTGTAGAGAGATTTTATATAATATATATGTAGAGAGAGAATATACACGCGCACGCGTACACACACACACACACACACACACACATAATCTCTGCTTTGAAAGCTCAAAAGAAAAAAAAGCTCTGCTTCCTGTAATCTTTACTAGGCACACTATACCCACCAGTGAGATCTGCTGAGAAAACCGGGACAGAGTTGGTATCCCTGCCCAGGGCCCTGGGGCTCAGCACGCCTGCTCCGGGTGTCCTTCTGAACGTGTGTGGGTCTTCAGGGCCTGCAGCATGTCCTGGGAATGCCTGTCCTCCCGGCAGCTGCCCAGCATCCCCATTCACACAGCGCCATGGCGTCCAGAGAGACAAAGGTTTGCAGTGCTGCTTCAGTGCCAGGCAGAGGAGGTGCTCAGGGACCAGAGCTTCTATTATCAATGTAATGCTGTTATTGCTGGTTTAGGAGGAGGGAGGGGGAGAAAAGAGCTAACAGGCAGCTCCCTGTACTCAGCTCTCATCTGGCTATCCACTGTGTACATGCTCTGCACTGCGCTGAGATGGGAAAGAAGGTGAATGGCATGAATTGAACCCAGGAGGGAGTGGCAGTGCAGCTGGGGGGATGGAGTCAGTTCATCGGAAAGGTTAAAGGGAACTCTCACAGGGAAATCTCAGACAGAACATCTTGGGTTGGCAAATTGGGACGGGGGCACTATGGGACACTGGGAACAGGAGGGAGGCCCTGGAAGGTTCAATAGCAGATGAGGGACTCGTAGGATACCCAAAATTTAAATCCACAAACTCAACACTCTGAGCAACAGCTGTCTTCCCCACACACCATCATGGAGTACTTCCTGAATGTCCTGAATATGCCTTGCAGAAGATCCTGTTTGTCGTAAAGGTAAAACTACAATTAACAGTAACATCAACATGCTCACCCTGTACGAGATGCCATGATCTGCACAATTCATACTCAGTGAATCCTTGCAAGTCCCGTAAGGGACAAGTATTGTTATTGCTGTTTTGCAGATGAGCAAACTGAGGCTTAGAGGGTCCGAGATCATATGAACTGCTGGGGTGGAAAGGCAGGCCTGTCTGACTGCCGTCAGGCTCTGCTGTCACCTGCAGAGGTGACAGGCAAACTGCCGTCTACGTCCCTGAGACGGGACCAAAAGGATTCCCGCATATGATTCTTGTTGCTCAATAATGGC